GAAGAATATCCCCCCCCCCCCCCCCATTTTTTAAATTAAAGTTATGCGATCGTCGTCATGTCACGAGGCCAAGAGCCACGTTTCGAAACTATCACAGTAAGCAGTGCATCACCCTGTGTGATGCATGTACGTCGAACTTCTTTCGCACCGCACGTAGCCACCCGTGCCAATCGTAGGTGCAGGGGAAGGACAACAAACCAGACACAAAACAATCAAACGTCCCCGAACACACCACCCGGGTGTCCTGAGATGCCTTCGCACGGCCCCCACACACTCTCTCTCTCTCTCCTCCGCGTGCGGCTGCGACTGAGTGTTGGTTGCAAGTCAACCGCCGGTATTGGTCACCGATATTGGTAAACGATATTTGTTACCGATGTTGGTAAACAACGATATTGGTAACCGATATTGGTAACAACGATATTGGTAAACGATATTGGTAACCGATATTGGTAAACAACGATATTGGCAAACGATATTGGTAACCGATATTGGTAAACGATATTGGTAACCGATATTGGTAACCGATATTAATAAACGATTTTGGTAAACAATGATATTGGTAAACACCGATATTGGTAAACGCTCACTGGTGACGCGTATCCAACTTTAAACCCCACGAGCCGATGAATGCGAACGCGTCCGATAGGACGTACGCCGTGGAGATGGAGCGATGACGTAAGGGCACGTGCTGGGTGCATTCATTACATAGCGGGGATCGTGAGAGGTGGCGGCGACGGCGGCCTTCATCCAGCAGTGGATTGACCAAGGTTGATGATGGTGATGTTTTTGAGCAGTAAGTCACGATGTGTATTCGTTTGTATGCGGACAAGGCAGCGCGTTTAAAGATAAACGAGCGACGCCTGCTCCTCCTCCTCGAGCTCCACTCAATGGCTGGAGTGTAGGAATGGCAGCCCCATCGATTATTATTAATGTCCGGGTAGTTGATCATGACAATGCAATTCTTTGAAAGGCGACGTCTGAATTATTGGGAAGTGAGAGACTTTCGATGCAGCCCTTCCGAATAACGTCAGACATCAAACCGACAACCTCCAACGACTGTTGCAACGAACTCGCACGAATCTCTGAAGAACTCGCACGAAGCGAGTGAGCGGAGAACGAGGGGCAGGCGTGCTTCCATGGCCAGGCTAGCGGCGCATGAGTGGCCATGGTCGTGAGATCTCTCGCGACGACATCTCGGAATTGCAGTCCAAGCAGTATTCGTCTTACTCTTAGGTTTTTTCGGTAAAGTCAGAAATAAAATATAAATAAAATAAAATATAAGTAAAATATTTTATTTTTATTATTATTTTTATTATTTTATTATTTACTTATCTTTTTTGCCTACGTGACTTTACCGAAAAAAACAACCTAAGAGTATGAATCCTTGCAGTCACGAAAGCTTCAAATCTAGAATCAGTATTCGTCTGAGAGGAGGCGAAGCCCGTACGAAATGTGAACTACCTCGGCTGGTATACATGAGGGGTCGTGGGTTCGATCCCGACCCTAACGCCTGTATATTTGGAGTTTGCGTGTTTTCCCCGTGGTTGCGTGGATTTTTCTCCGGGTCCTCCGGGTTTCCCCTCCTCGTTTAGAAGCACGCGTTTGAAGTATTTGGCTGCGATAAATTTCCACGCGAAAAGCCACTCCGTCGAGCTATCAGTTGTGGCCAGGTCGCTTCTGACAAAGACCTGCTGGCGTTAGGTTTTTGTCTCCAAGTTTTGGGCAACCCTTTGATCAATTTGGCCGCCTTTCAACACGGCGAGTCGCGAACAGCGGTGCTATTTCACATTACAGTTTCATTCATATTGTGCGTATGTATGTTGCACTTCTTTCTCATCGGATCAACCGATCATGTTCACGTGGGGTTATCTCCCCCGCTTTGTTACAGACAGAGATGTGGTCAAGCTCATGTTGCGTTGTGTATCCAGGTGAGCGCTCACGAGGCCAGGGTATGGAGTCTCATTTGCAAGGCTGATCTGGCTCACAAGAATGACAAAAGCAAAACAATCAGAGAGAAACAAAAACACTGTGTCCCGTAAGCAATCGAATTGCACAAACACAAATCAATGATTAATAAAATGTTAAGCAATACATTGCCTGCAACGCAAGCCGGCTCTGGCAGATATTTAGACCAATCACAGCACAATTATCAAGAATGTTGCATTAAAAACCATTAATATCAAACATATATTGTATTTCAACAGACAATAACACGTCAAATTAATTAAACGAGTCCGATGTTATTTGGGAAGGCGTTCATGAAACTGAACTCGCGAGGCAAGTGAGCTCAGGAAGACGACGAGTCGTGCTACGAACACGCGAACACAAACAGAACCCCGGTTTTGGTATTCCTCCTCCTCCTGTCGAAGGAGCGCATATTACAGTGGTCTACTTTATATGGCCCATAGGGGTTGCGGGTGAACACCCCACTGCACGCCTGCCTGGACCCCTTGGAGCTCGCCCTGGGTCGCTGCGTTTGCCAAATATCCCCCGCTCGGGACAACGAAGGGGAGAGGGTCGCACGCATATTTCATTGTTGTGCTGCTGTTGCTGCTGCTACTGCTGCTGAATGCAACTAGCTTCTCTCCTGAGATGTTTCTCTGCCAATGCCATTGTTGGCCGCTGTCAGGCAAAACAGCGCCGAGTGAAAAAAATAATTACCGTGAATCACCATCACCCACTTGCGGGAAAAAAAACGAATTCGACGAGTTTTTTTACCGAACAATGTTGCGTTTTAACTGGACATCTGTGGGAAAAAAGAGCTTCATAGCTCACCGGATTCCACCAGTATAAATGCACATTCTGATGGCGGTGGTCGCTCCGTTATTATCATCGACCACCGGATGGAACCGCCGTCAGATCCGTATCTCGACACAAACAGATCGTGTCGTGTCGCCGGACGGCCGATTGCTTGTCCGTTCCAGATGTACCCTTACCATATGCGTTTAAGCACAAACTCTGGAAAAAGGATTTCCCTTCTGGGTCTCATCAGCAGAGGCAGGCGTGCTATCCTAGGTTACTCGATGTTATTGGCACGTGCCCTTCTCGTTACGTCACGGAACGTCAGCGCAATCGGCAATACAGTATTGCATAATTGTTGATTATTATTATCGTGGGGGACACACGAGCGCTGCGTGCGGTGCATGATTGTGACCCAGCGCTTTGGCAAAAGGGGCTGGTGGATCGTAGATTTCTCTACTGGTTACATGTTTACGAACATATAGAGAACGGCGAGTTGAAGGCGCGGAGACCAGAGCAGGTTCAGGTATCACTCGCCACTGATGTTATCCGTGGCCGGGAATCGAACTCTGGTAGCCGGATCAATGGCTCCGCCATATTCGTCAATATAACTTGAACATGATGAAGACGACGCAGCCTATATTTAATCATACATGTTGCGGCTATGATAAGGAGTCCTATATTTGTGTATCTCTGTACGCCCAGTGTTGCTGTACATGTCGCTTAGAACTGTGAGAACAACTGGCACGTGGCTCACGCATCCCGTTACGATGCCGGTGACTTGGGTTCGATTCCTGGCTGTGAACTACAGCAGTGATGAAATTGTATCAAAGCTTCTCTTTCGGGGCCCCTAGGTCGATTCAGCCTAAAATACGTACTTGGTGCTACGGCGATGTGATCAGTGTAAGGAAGACAAACGCGGTCGGGGTGCGCGCGGTGGTTTTTTTGGTTGGTTAAACTTCTTCTTCTTGAGTGCTGCCTAACGGCGTGTGCGACTTCACGATGATATTGGTCCCGGTCTAGCACGGCGTGTAGAGTTTGTGCTGCTGTTGTTAATTGTAGCCATGTTTTGATGTTACTGAGCCATGTCGTTTTTGGCCGTCCTGGTCGTTTTTTCCCTTCGATTTTTCCTTCCAGGATTTGCTTTAATAGCTGGTATTTGTGGTCGTTTCGGGCAATGTGGCCTAGGTAGTAACACTTCCTGCTAATGATGGTCTTCAGCAGTTGCCTGTCAGTGCCCATATCTTGCAGAACTTGTGTATTGGTGGTTTTGGCTGTCCATGGGATTTTCTGGTTAAACTTGGTCGGTTCATTTTCTATGGCCCACGGTGTTGCTATCACGGTTGGCTGCGTACGGTGCGAAATAAGTTCAACGTACATACGGCGTTACTGTACACACGTGCGAATGCGTTGAGTTTGTTTTATTTGTGCTGTCGTGTACCACTGGCAATGCAGTATGGCAAATAAAGATTTTGTATTTAAATGGAACGTATTTCATGATCAACGTTCGTATGATCTCACTTCTATTCGTCCAGGAGAGCCACACCGAGCCGCAGGACTCCTTTTTCACTTTGGGATGTTTCCAGGTCATTAACGATTGAGTTTTTGTTATCCACGTGGGGAGCACCCGGAGAAGCCCCACTCTCGCGAGATTGTCAACGACACGGGATCTCACATGAGATATCATGAGAACATTACGCATTAATTTATCGTAACGTTCGTATTTCATGACCTCAAATGTTTTCCCAACGCGTAAAACTACTGCGGCGAATTTGAACGATTTAACTTCGAGAGCGACGTCCAAAGCGTTCCACAAATAAAGTGTTCAGCTAAAAAAAAGAATCCCCCCCCCTCCTCAAGCTCAGTCCTTTCATATCTTAAACTAATCCCACGTGCGCCCACCTCTAATCAGCGATGAATCAGAGAGCGCCTCCCGCGATTAATCACAGCGGCCCGCACCAGACAGCAGACTGGAACCCCACCCGCGCCCTGAACATTTATTCATGGTATTCGCGAGCGGCAGCCGAAACGATCTCAGGTGTGCGTTTGTTAATTGGCGCACGCTGGGAGAGGGAGAGAGAGGTAAAGAAGCCGTGATGATGGCAGGGGGTCTGGCTGGGGTTGAAGCCCCCGCTTGGATAAAGGGGGCGGTGATGGGACCCGCTCCTGCGACCCGGAGCGCGAGGCGATTGGAGGGGCGCTCGCTATAAAATCCAAACAATCCCAGCCACCTCCCACAAAAAAACTTGGGAAGCTCTCAGACCCAGCGAGAGAGAGACAGACAGATAAACTGGAGACGTGGGGAGGCCAGTTCTTGCTTGTGTTATTTAGCTCCACGCGTGAGAGAGGACCAGAAACATACCTGGATTCTTCTCTTCGCTTTACCTGCTTGCACGGTAACTTTTTTTTAATCCTTAGATAGAGAATGAGTAGTCCAGATGTAGGCTACATGAGCGACGATCAGACAAACCTTCACCACCACCCGCTCCATCACCTGCAAACGCACCAACACCACCACCAGCAGCGCCAACGACAGCATCACCTGCTGCACTTGCAGCAGCAGACCCCGCTCGTGTCCTCGGCTGCTCTGTGGCCGGGTGGCGCGGCCCCCCGCGCGGCGCCGAGTCCCGTCCAGGTGGGCCCGGGTTCGAGTCCAGGTACTGGCCCGCGGGGCGTTCAGGCTGTCACGGAGGTTGCGAAGAGGACGCAGGAGGGAGGCGGCGGTGCCAGTGGCGGCAGCAGCAGCAGCAAGACGCAGCAACAAGGAGAAGCGCGCATCCCGCGACCCATGAACGCGTTCATGGTCTGGGCCAAGGATGAGAGAAGGCGTCTGGCCAAACAGAACCCAGATCTGCACAATGCTGAGCTCAGCAAGATGCTAGGTGAGTCGTGTGTGTCCTGGGCCTTCTCCTAGGTAGACTCGGCATTAAATAAGTCCTGTACTCTGTAAATATATCAGCAAATGGCCAGGCGTGGTTCTGGCCAAACCGCTCGAGTGCCGTGTGGGCCTTTAGGTGCTCGCTCGCAACGCTTGCCCAGCGGTCGGTGCGGGCTACACAGCGGAGGAGAGTGTCTCTTTGTCTTTGTGTGGCAGTGGCAGAGCGCAGGTGAAATCCCCTTGATTGGCTAACCCGTAACATCTGGGTATGTCCCGTGATCTCATAGCAGATAACCCCGTCGACACTTTACTTGGTCTCGGGGCGCACCTAACTTTGCACAAGCGCCGTGGGGGCACCTTGGTAAACCCGGGTTCCATTTCCTGACCCATGGATAACATTAGTAAGTAATATCCAAACCTCTTTTGGGCCTCTTAAGTATACTGATGATTAAATTGAACGTATAATCCCGGGTGTCAAATGTTGACTTGGAAAGACAAAGGCGGCCGGGCGTGGTTCTGACCGGAGTCGGCCATGGTGTCTCAACAGGTCACACTACTTGCCGAATGCGGTCAAAAGCGAATTGTGTCGTTTGAACTTTATTCCTTCTCAAATATGGCTTTTAACTCCCATTCTCGTGTTTTACATTCGTAGTAAATGCATCGACCTATGGGCGTCGGATACAACATCGCGTGTGATGTTCGGTAAATGCGGTCAGCCTCGCTGTTTCGACTTCGGCGAGATCCCATCAGAAGGGTCGGCCCGGAGTGTTCCTCCTCGCGCTGTGGCCAGTGGGTGAGGATGGTTCCATAGGTCCCTTTAATCGTACGGAGACCGCCACCACAACCAGCGAAGTGACGCCACCACAACCATCACCGCGCCACCGCTAAACCGCGGTGCCCCCCCTCCCTCCCCGATTCCCGAGCGCTTTCCACCCCGCTACTCGGAAACTTTGATGCTCCTTTGTGTTGTTCGCCGTTAAGGCCACGTTCCCTGGAAACGGAGCTTGCAGCAACAACCAAACAACGAAAAAAGTCCCGACAGGAATCGACTCTGGCTCCGTAGTCCACCGTCCCTCGGGCACGACATTGTGTGTCCCGGCAGCAGTGGATTGCGCCAGTGAGAGACGGGGTCTCGTTTGCACAGCGCTTTGGTAACACTGTGTAACAAATGTATTTATTTTTGTTCCTGGGTAGTAAGTGTTATTTTCTAATTGCTTATGCCTCCAAAAGAACAGAAAATGGCTATTCCCCACAAACTTTGCTTTTGTGACCAGGACAGTGATATTTTGAAGTTTCCATTTTCAGTGAGAACGTGCGCATTTGTGTCATTCCTTCACATAAAGTCCTGGTCACAAAAGCAATGTTTGTGGGGAATAATAACCATTTTCTATACTTTTGAGATGAGCAATTAGAAAATAATACTTACTACCCAGGAACAAAAATCGTGTTTTTTACATGGTGTATAATTACTGTCAAAATCCGTACGTGTATTGGGGTTTACGGTCGCCAACAAGATGTGGGACTGGTCTGGTTCTAGACCACCTTGGCCTAAACTCTCGCTCGATAAGCCGAACAACCCGATCACTACCCTTAACGTATCCTCTTCCGAACTCTGATCTCAAACTTAATTATTGTCGCCTATTTTTCTAGGTTTGTTTTACTAATTGTAATGATATATATATTGTGTCTTTTGCGGTGATGGTGTTTCATACGCGAGGAGATATTATACAGCGCGCACCGCAGCTCGCGTGGACGAGTCTCGGGCCACCTCTTGCCGCGTTCAGGATGTGTTGGGTTCAAGCAGTTGTCCAATAAACCGCAGCCTAAACCCACGGTTAAGATTCAATCCGATTTTTTTTTTTGGGGGGGGGGGTCTTGTTTTTACAAGTTACCTGTTCCTACCCGATCCATTTACCAGAGCGCAACACCGAACCCCGCCCCCTAATGCGCGTTTAACTAATAGACACAACGGTGTTTTACGTTGTGGTTAATGTGCGAACCAACTCTTCCCGTGTACGTGAACTCTCTCAACTGTTCCAGAAAGTGTTTTATTTTACGTGCGACAGTTACCCAGTTGAGTGGAACCATGATCGTTCATCGGCGAGTCGCGGCGAATCCGTGTCCCAAGATGGAACTTTTTTTGTTTTGCCGCTTGTGTATTCTATGGCAGGGTATAGTGGCTAACTTTGTTTCGTCGCTAAAATATACCAATTTATATTTCAAGATTCAAACTCCTAACTTTATAAAATCAATAAAATGTAACTTGTGAACCCCACAACGGAATTGTGTGGACGTGATCGGCTGTGGATGTAAGTGCCCCGGGCATCTCGTGAACGCGCTGGCGCTGCGGGAGGATCAACTCGCCCCGTCTTGCGACTCGTGCCGCGCACTCCGCGGGCAGCAATTAGCGGCTAATCGCGTGGCTTTTAAACGAGGCTCGCGTGTCGTCAACTCCTTCGCCTGCAAGGTTGGATGCCGCTGTACAAGCTTCGCCCAATGGAGTCGTTTGTTTTCACGGCTACACCGACAGTTGTTTTAGCGCAACACGACGGCGATTCCAAGTCGCCGCGTGTGTAGGGCTGTGTAGATGCGTTCACTTACAGTGAAGTCGTACACGGGGGGCGGAGTCCAACTGTGCAATTAACGAATTGTTGGGAGGGACGTTTCGTGGACCGGTAACATTCCTGATGGTTGACATCACCACCTCGTTAAAAACGTGACCGGCAAAAACAAAGCGCGCGCGCGGTGTTTTTAATATTAGGCTTGCAACGATGGTCAGACTTTAACATGACGCTAATTTAATTGTATTATCACGAATACGGGAATATTGTCCAAATGAGCAACTGTCGTTTCGAGAAAAATGTAATAGTATCAAATAATGATCTGGTTTAACTTGCGTCTCCGAATCACCAGTTTTCTAAATCGACTTGTTTTTATATTCGAATTGGTGCCGTTGTAGTCTGATAAACCTATATAGATTTGAAGGTATAAAATTAATTAAAGCACGACGTTTCGATTGCTTGTGTTTAAAATCGAAACGTCGTGATTTAGTCTGATAAACGTTATTTGGAATGGGTTGCAACGTGGTTCGTTTTTCCAGGGTCAACTCGTATTACCCGCGTCGAAAGTCTAGACCAGTGAGTCTTAAACATTGACTGCAGCCTTGCACCCCTTTGGTTCTCAATCGTTAAAAAAAATGGTAATAAATATACATAGGGCTTGATGAAACACAAAGTCGTTGTCCTTGCGTGTCCGTGCTTAAGTTGGGCTTCGATTTGCCTCTTTAAAGGATCTGGCAATGTCTCGCACCCCCAGAAAGGGCATATCGGACCCCCAAGGGGGTGCGTGTACACCCCATGTCAAGACCGCGATGCTCTAGACTGCTAGAAGCCGCATCTCTACTAGTACGCTACCGTAATAGTTCTCCAGTCTAAATAAATATTCTATCTATTATAATAATAAGTTATATCGCGTCCGGAGAGTAGCGAGGAATCTCGGGGGGGGGGGGGGAGCAGCTTTGGCTATGGCGACCCCGAGGTGCCTGCTGCGCGAGTGCTTCGTATCACGTCCGTGTTCCGCGTACGCGCGCGCGTGGTTTGTGCCGTCGCCGACAACAGTTAATAGCGTCAGCTCTGTTCCTTTGTGCAGGAAGTTCCGCGATTTTTTTAAGTAGGCAAAGTCGAAAATTACCCGCAAATTATTAATTAGGGATTACACCTGCCAATCGTGGCTATACCCCACCCCACACACCTGGCAGGCTTAATTGTCGTTTACAGGCCAGGTGCTGAAGTCGCCTTGTGCCCGCAGGATCAGATGCCACAAATATTTGTTATGTATATGTCAAGCGCTCATGATTTAATAACGTTTGTTATTTGGCGATGCTGCTACGTTGGCCTTTTTGCGGTTAACGAAACTGGCGCATTAATCGATAACACTGCCGTTCACTTGCTATGATGAAGGATCATTGCCCAACACGTCACACGTGATCTCTATTTTAAGGCAGCCGAGACGAATGTGCTACGCGTATCGGAGAGCGTTACATTTAAAATCGAGTCTCGTGAGCGTTAGCGATCCGGGTCTCTGATTGAACCCTTGAGATGCGGGCCGAGTTTTTATTCTTCACGGGAGCTCGAGCCACCGCCACTGCCACTTGTGACTTCCATTGGCCCCCGAGACCTGCTCGTGTACACGGGGTCCCCTTTTGCTCGATCCACTGCTGAATGAGCGCCTCTTTGCGCAACGGTGAATATTAACTACCTCGCCTGGTATGCAGGAGGTCGTGGGTTCGATCCCGACCCTGACAATGACTATTTCGAGTTTGCATGTCTCTCTCTCTCTCTGTGGTCGCGTGGATCTTTCTCTGGGTTATCAGACTTTTCCCTATAAAATTAGAAAACGTGCATTTAGAGTATTTGACTGCTATCCATTTCCACGTGATAAGCCACTTTGTTGAGCTTTCATTTGTGGCCAAGTCGCTTCTGAAATAGAGCTATATAGCACAGTGGGCCTGACCTGGTGAAATAAAAAAAAAATGGTTACAAATAGTTGGGCTCGTCGGGGATATTTGAACGAACTATATAATGTTACCGTGGTTGGGCCCGTTAAGAGTTGGTGACAGTGGGAGAGCAGAAAGCAGAGTAAATTTAACATTGCTGCCAACCGGACCTTGTTGGATTATTTCATTACACGTTCAGTATTACGACATGCACACGGCACGGAGAAGCCTCTCATTTTGTGTAGAAATTTTCACACCGAACCTTCGTTGCTTGCCGGAGGGGAGATCTCGACTTGACCCTGGTATGGACTTGTATACACTACACACGCGCGTTGCAACCGTCAGTCCTAGCGCATCTAATATATTTTGGTGATTTGGGAACTGCGTTGACGTACTTATACAAGTGTTTTTTTTTTATGAACACCAAATGGGACTAAATATGCACGCTGGGACAAGCTGCCATTAGGGGGGGTATCCCCCCCCCCCCCCCCCCCCCCGCAGGCTTAGCGTCCGAAGCCTCGAGATGCTTCCATCGGGCGCAGTGCAAATGTGCGGCTACTGAGAATGATGACAATGATTTAAAATCTGGAGCTGAAGTTTCTACATTAATGATCATCATCACGATAATTGTAATTCCCTGCACAGTCTCTAGTACATGGTTAAACGCGCAGCCCTTTTATTGAAACCTCGAAGATGGGCTTTTTTGAGGAGGCGTGTGAACGCCGTGCACGTAACACGGTTGTGGCTGCCCCGCCCGTCCGTTTTTTTTTAACGCGCGGGATGTCGTGTGCGGTTCCGAAGTTCGTGACCGCCAGCGTTTCGACCCGTGTTGACGATCATCCAGGAAAAACGGCCCTCGCAGAGTCTCAACTCTGCATTGGGACGTTTGGTCAATGTATTTATGTTGGTGTTTTGCTTGGTGGGAAAAAACCCCTAGTCTTCTAACGAGGAAGCCACACTGGGGGGGGGGGGGGGGGGTAGTACAGTAATGTGCGGACGCGCGCGGTCGTTAACCCTTTAACTACTGGATCCCAGGGTTTAGTCGGTGGTTAGCCACTCGGTGTTCACCCGTTAAGGTTGCGTCAGCTGATCAAATCGAGCGTTTTGGAGCGGTGCCAGGTCTGTTGGGGTAACCCTGACGCGGTGATGGGAATTCCACATTGCCATGGCGAGGTTTGCGTGGTGCCAATTTTTGTGCGTGGTGTAAATATTATACGGCACCGTACATGTTGTTGAAAGTCCAAACGCTGGCATTTAATGCAGTGTGACCCGGATAAACTCTGCCTCCTGGCTGCGAGCTCACGAGAGCTCGATCGGTAGACGTTACGAGCATTGTCAGACTTGTATAAAGTATGTCTTGTGCGTGCCTTCTGTGCCACAACACGACCACCATGTCCACACCACTACCTTACCGCCACCACTAGCCACATCCTCTATCACTTCCACCATAACCCTCAATCACTTCCACCGCAACAACGTTCACTATCGTTGCCGTGACCTCAATCGCTTCCACCACCACAACATCGCCACCGCCGAAATCAAAACGATCACCCAAAGCACTTATTCACCTTTTGCCACCCACACCATCAAACATTGCCATCGCCAACCCCCTTCTCATCCTCTCCATGGCTGTCCCCTTCCCCCCTGTGTGGCAGGCAAGTCTTGGCGCGCGCTGACCCCGGAGAGCCGGCGCCCGTGCGTGGAGGAGGCAGAGCGGCTGCGCTTGCTGCACCTGAGCGAGCACCCAGACTACAAGTATCGCCCGCGGCGCAAGAAGCAGCCCAAGCGCCTCCCGCACAGCGCCAAGCGAGGTGGCGGTGGTGGTGCTCAGCCAGGAGCAGGGGGCCCGGGGGATGGGACCCGGGTGTCTGGGGGCCCCGCTTCCCTCTCCTCCCTGCCGCCTCCTCTGCCGCCGGGGTTCGGCCACCGCGAACGGCGGCACCAGCAGCAGCAGGGCGTGGTGCACTACCGCGAGCTGCAGCCGGCGCCGCTGCACTACACGCAGCAGCAGCAACGGGCGCCATGTGGGCTGCCCACCCCAGAGCGCTCCCCTCCCGCGGACGACTCCAGCTCGGCGTCGTCGCCCGCATCGTCCGTCTCGTCCTCGTCCGCGTACCCGCCGACAATGTACCTGGGCTCGCACCTTCACCCTGACTACTACGCTACCGCTGCAGTGGAGAACGGGTACCCAGCCGCTGAGTTGGCCGTCCCCGCGCCGCTGTATGGATACCACCAGCTCGGGGCCTGCAGCGGCAGCGGCAGCTACCAGGGCCAGGAGGTGGGGGCCTCCAGCCAGCAGATCCACGCATCTCCGTACCACGGCGGCGGTAGCGGTGGTGGGGGCTCTGCGCACTGTGCCCTCTATGCGCTGCATGGAGTGGGGACCGACCCGACTTCATTCAGCTTCGGGCAGCCCTCGCCTCCGCCGGAGCCACCCAGGGCCTCCCACTCGCAGGTGCTGGAGGTCCTGGAGCCGTTCGGCCAGTACCTGGAGGAGGTGGATCGCAGCGAGCTGGACCAGTACCTCATGCTGGCACCGTGCGCGGAGGTGGCGGTGTCGTCCAGCTGCTCCACACCAATCCAAAATTCCACTTCCTCCTCCACCTGCCTCTCCGGAGAGTCCAACCTCATCTCGGCTCTCTCCAGCGCCACGGCAGTGTACAACAACTATTACAGCTAGCGGAGGCAGGCAACAGCGCGTCTCCCCCACCCCCTACCTGTGGCGTAGCGGAACGGTCGGCCACAGGATGCCACAGTGGCCTTAGTTTGTGGTTTCTAGGGATTGATGATGAATGCGAGGTGTGGTTTTGAGGATCCCTCCACCACCCTCCTGCATGAGTCCTTTTCTGAAACGCACGCAATCAGCACGAGATGCGCAAAGACGTTTTTTCGCACGGGACCTACGAGTTGCTTACACGTATGCAAAATAACACAATCACGGACACTGGTGGTGGTGTCACGAAGCCAACTTTGGCGAGATTTTGAGTGTTTAATCCAATGCGTGGCTTTTGTCCTAGCGGGGTGGGCCTGTGTAAACATTAGTAGACTCGGATTTATTATTTTAAAGATGATTGAACTTGCCAAAAATGTGGGTTCGAGCTGCTCCTTACATTTCCATTCTCTCGTTTAAGATTCCTCACCTTGGCCAAATTCCTCTTCCTTACCCATACCAGCACAGCCAACAAAATCCTAACGCTGTTGTCAATTCACCTTTTTTTATTTTACAGGCATGCGCGTACCGTTTAGTATCCACGTTTTTATCACCAATTTCCGTTCAGCATATCTATTCAAATATAACTTGTTAAAATTGCCACAACGCTGCGCTCGTAAGTTTCCGTCGTGCCCAACGTGAATTTAGGCCCGAGGCTGTGGAGCCCTGGTGCAGGTGCTGTGCATTAATCATTCAGGGCGCAACATCTGTGCATGCGCGCGCGCCTCCGTCTCCTATCTCTCTCTCTCTCGCTTCCCGAGTACCGTGAAATGGGATTGGTGGGGGGTGGGTGGTGGTGTTGCTTGGATGACAGAAAATGCCCTGCCCCTTAGCTGTTGGCCTGACCATCGCATGGCAGCGGGCGAGGTAAAATATTGATGAGGCCTCGTCACGTGTGGGAACGAGGTGAACGAGACGAAGAGGTGTTGGCGTTGTTGTTGTGACCCCCCCCCCCACGCCCCACCCTCGATGTCTGTGGACTGTGGCTTGTTGACGCGGACAGCTGTGGAGGGGGCAAACTGCGTGCGTGTGCGGCGGCTTGTTGTTTGTTGTTTTGTGTGGGGGTTTGTGTTTAACTTTGTTTTTAAACGCGGTTTTTGTAATCCACCTGGTAGTGGTGGTGTAGCGTGTTCGACACCCAAGCACGAAAAACAATCTCTTGTTGGGCCAGGGTTATCGACACGACCATTGTTTTTTTTTGTCTTTCATTTACAAAACTTCCAAGTTGGGTTTCTTTCCCCCCCCCCCCACCTTAAAAAAAAAACACACAGGATGTATTTGTGACTGGAATTTGGCCACAATCCTCTCACAAAGCAGCAAAATGTTTTGTTGGGGAGAGTTGTAGGTTTTTTGTGTACTGCATTTGAAAACTCCGTCCGTTCCCGTGGTGTTGTTCCTCATAACCAACCAGAGTGTGGTGTCAGACGGGCTGCCATCAAGATCTCCTTAAACGCTTTGTGTATTGCTGGTATGTATTGTAATGCAATTAGTTTTCTCCGACTCGAGCCCTGTGCCAAAGAGGATTGTTTTGGGTAAATGTTTTGGCTCTCACCGCTTTCTGTTGAAATTGCGTGTACAATTTTTTTTTGCCACGTGGTGTGTATGTGTGCATGTTTACGGAGTGTGGTCTGTGGTGGGAGGGAGGTGGGTCTGTACACACCAAAGGTCTTTCTTCATATGCAACATGCGAGACCAACTTTAAAATGTATACCGCGTGTATGTGGAGGCAGCCTCTTAATACAACTCTCTGGGCTGGGGAGGGCGATATACACGGAATCCGGTTCAACGTCGCCTATTTATACTTGTACTAGCGGGAAGTGCCCAGCGTTGCCCAGGCAAAAAAGGCAGACGCGCACATCGACCTGCACACATTTGCAGACATTGACCCACACACAAAGACATCGCCTTATACACAGACACACACAAAGAAAAGGAGTTACACACTCACATGGAACCACGCACACATCGACTCTCGCACACACACACATGGACCCTGAGACACACACATCGACTAATGCACACTCGTATAGCCTCACATTAACAGGCATCGACTTTAGATACACTCGCACGTGCAGCTACACGCACACAAAGAAAAGTTCTTAAACACTCGCATGGAGCCACACGCACATCGGCTAATGCACACAAAGACATACGGACTCGCGCACACACACAGGCATCGACTTTAGATACGCACACATGCAGAGACATACAGACACATCGACGCGCGCGCACACAAAGTGATTGACTTACACAGTGAAATGGAGCTTCACAAACACACATCGACTGATACACGGACGTAGACACACGCACATGGTGGCAGACACGGACAGGGACTCGCGCGCACAAGGATCTAGAGGCAATTTAGAATATATAAGTATAGATCAACGAAATGTAGAAATCGTAGTAGTCGGCACCCAAACATGATTGTAATATTTGTAAGGTGAATCTTTAAAATGCAGGGTTCTAGCAACGTTAGTCGGACACACAAAATAGTAATAATGGGCAAGGGCTTTATAAAGTATTCGGTGTGAGTACACACAAAGTTTGACTATTTCCAAGGTGATTTTTTTTTTAATGGCAGGTTTGTAATGTACGCGAGTTTAGCGAAAGAAGCAAGGAAGATGAATACTAATTTTCTGCACAAACTTTTCTAATGTAATGTTTGGAAGGTGATCATTGAAAGCATAGGTTACAATGTACGAGAGTTTAGCGAAGGAAGCAAAGAATAGAACTGTCAGTTGTCTGCACACAAACGGTATAAACGTAATATTTGCAAGGTGGTGATAAAAGACGTATGTTTCTAATGAAGGCGAGTTGACACATTAAAAAATATAATAATGACCAAGTGAATTTCAAAATATTAATTGTAGGCAGTCAAACAAAAATAGCTGTCTGCACACAAACGTAGGCAATGTAATATTAGGAAGGTAATTATAAAAAAAACCGGGGTTGCTATCAAGGTGAGGTTAGGGAAAGAATAAAAGGATATTGTGTCTAAACATTGGCGTGATGAGGCCTAGTCTCGTGCAGAGCCCTCGGCCTCGCCTAGTTTTTCCAGTCGGGCGTGGTGTGTTGGCAGGCTGGGGGCTGGGCTGCCCCCCCTCCCCCCGCGCTCCAATAATACAATGGAAGCGCTATAATAGGAATATATCGGGGCTCTATAATAGTTTGAGGACGCATTGGGGTGGGGAGAAGAGGACCTCGCACTGTGAAGAAATAACGGAAGTGTTTGTGTACTTTTGCTACATGTTTAACGTGAATGAAAATTTGTGCCGATCGTGTGTGCGTTGCTCAGGGACAACCCCTGTCAGCAGTGCAAAGTGTAATTTGAGATATGTGTGTGACTTGGCCTGTAGAGTGTGCAGGCGAAAAAAGAATGCCTCGCACCTCCGGCGATGGCGCGTGTGGACTGCTAGGGGCTAACCTAGTGGGCGTTGTGCGCAAGTGCAGCCTGCTGCGTTGTCACTCCCCGAGTGGCGAACGGAAATAAGGGCAAAAGTAATATTTAAATAAAGATAAATCGCAAACAAATGCTATTTAAACTAATGAAAAGGTCTTCTTGTTTCTTTCGGTAAAGTCACGTAGAAGGGAAGTAATAAAATAATAAAAATAAAACATAATAAAACAATTCTCACGACGTTTCGGCTACAACGCAAGCAGCCGTCTTCAGGTGAAGAATGAGACACTACCAAACTAGGAGCTTATATATAAGCTGCATTGGGGGTTGAAGAGCGCCTTAACAAAAAGAATGTGCATGTGAAGAGGGATTTAGCATATTCATGGAAAATGCGTAGGCGTTGGGCGGGGGGGTGTCAAAGTCATATTATGCCCATGCATTATGCAGGATCAGCAGCAACCAAGGGGGGTGCAGGGATTAGCAGTAACAAAGGAAAGGAATGTTAATGATATGTAGCTGCAGTTACTCAACAACCACGTAGAAAACTAAAGTATAAACTGCATCGCACCATCAGTATACTTACTATACTCTATAATAAGCTGAGTTACTAACAGCAAGTAATACATTACGAGGTAAAATTGTAATGTATTACTTGCTGTTAGTAACTCAGCTTATTATAGAGTATAGCAAGTATACTGATGGTGCGATGCAGTTTATACTTTAGTTTTTTATGTAGTTTATACTTTAGTTTTCTACGTGGTTGTTGAGTAACTGCAGCTACATATCATTAACATTCCTTTCCTTTGTTACTGCTAATCCCTGCACCCCCCTTGGTTGCTGCTGATCCTGCATAATGCATGGGCATAATATGACTTTGACACCCCCCCGCCCAACGCCTACGCATTTTCCATGAATATGCTAAATCCCTCTTCACATGCACATTCTTTTTGTTAAGGCGCTCTTCAACCCCCAATGCAGCTTATATATAAGCTCCTAGTTTGGTAGTGTCTCATTCTTCACCTGAAGACGGCTGCTTGCGTTGTAGCCGAAACGTCGTGAGAATTGTTTTATTATGTTTTATTTTTATTATTTTATTACTTCCCTTCTACGTGACTTTACCGAAAGAAACAAGAAGATGAATCCCTGCAGTCACGAAAGCTTTAAATCGAAATTTAATGAAAAGGTATTGGACGGGAAAACGGAATAGCGCTTGCCCAGCGCGGGGCTTACGGCGTGGTACCTGGCAAAAATGTGTTCACATAAACCCCACCGTTTGAGAGCCAAATCCCTCGCAAGCGCACGTGCACAGACAGGCAGACGGAAAGACAAAACATACTTATAGGTTAGAAGATAACCCATCGTAAGTTGCCCAATGGAAGTTACTACTTAAACGACTTTTATTCTTTTTACGTTGACATCACTTTCAAACAACTTTTTCATCTTTCTGAATGCTATTGGTGCCGATGCACAATTTATTGTGGAGGCAACCGTCAAACGCGTTTTTTTGTATTTATTTGCTCGGACTCGAAACGTGCCCGGTGGTGGTTGTAGTTGTGGTGGATGCCATGCGTGATTTTTATCCAATTACGCAAGACTGGCAACGTGGAGATGCTACCGTCGACGCGCGGTTTTCCACGCCCGTCATCTTTTGTCAGTTTGAAGGCAGATCTTGCCTTCCACATTCGCCTTGCCTGTACGCACCCACCGCATCGCAACATCCTTCCTTGCATGACGCTTGTGTACAGTTTCACCAAGCAGGTGTTTTTTTGCCATTATCACCATCGTGCGAAAAGCCACACTTGTTTATATATTATGATAATATTTAATTGCGCTGAAATGCTGTTTGTGTTAGCCACGTTGTGCGGCGCACGTGTGCTGTGGTGGTTTTTGGGGGATGCGTAAATAATGAAGGCTGCGTTGGTAGTGCCATGACCACTGAAGGAGGGAAACCCCCTCCCTCCGGTGTACTGCGAGCGAGAGGCGCCAACGTGCTGTTGGCATCGGCCATTGTGGGGGGCCCACACGGAGCGACGCAGTGTGCGTGGTTCGGCCCGGCGGTCGTGCGACTTTGTGCATGTGGGGTTGGGGGGGGACGTGTATTTTTTATATATATATATAAAGATCTGTAATTTCACACACTCACTTTTTTTGTCGAGATTTTTTTCTATAGTGTCGGTTTCGCGGAGCTTCCTTTCCCGCAGCTGCAGTATTTATCACTTCTCTTCCTTCCTCGGGCCCGCGGAATGCCTCCGTTATCTTGACCTCTCCCGGTGGCGGTGTGGCCTCCTCCCCTCAGACGGTGGAGGCGGCGCGCTGATGGGGATTAGATTTGGAATCTCCCGTTCCTGTTGGTGCTGCGTCGGTAGCCACCCTCGCGCATCTCCAATGCACGCTCCAAAACATATTCTGTATGGCGTTGCGCGGCCGTACTTAATTGCCCCGGGGGGGGTAACAATTATTGGGAAAAACCTGGAAGCGTTTTTGGGCCTCACCCTGCTGATGATAATTGTAGTTGTTGAAACTTGCTCGGTGCTCTATACTAACTGTTGAGGGGGGGTGGGGACAACAAAAACTTAGATGCACATTTTAGCCACAAACCCGACCCTTTCCCCTGCATTGCCCTCCAATCTGCCGAGAAGGCATTTTGTACAATACTGCTCCGTTGTAGGCTGTCGGCATTTCGCTAAACGCTGCAAGGGTCGTGGGGTTGGTTGATTGCAGCAAGAGGCCGTGTGTCTCGGGTACTATGTACGTGACCAGCCCTTTTGTCAATCCACTTTTATGGGTGATGGGGCATTGACTGGACTCTTATTTTTACCAGGTAAGGCCCACTGAGCTATATCGCTTTTTCTCAGCAGTGACCTGGCCATATGATATCTCACCAAAGTGCATTTTTAACGTGGAAATTTACAGCAGCCAAATACTCTAAGTGCACATTGATTCTAAATGTAGAGGGCGGGGAAACATGAATACCAGGAGAAAACATCCACTTGCCACCAGAACATGCAAACTCCAAATATACAAGTGTCAGGGTCGGCATCGAACCCACACACTCCTATATACCAGGCGATGGAATTGGCATTTCGCCACCGTGGTGGATATTTTACCACTTTATCATGCTTGTCCATTGTGGAATGGTGAAGGTGGGAGCATACGCTTCGGAGTATTGAAGTAAAGTACAACTGGATTTTTTTCTACGTTTCTCATTTGCATACTGCTTTTGCCGATGACAATCTGTCCATTATGGTTGCCCATCCAAGTGTTATCGAGACGCAACTTTGCTTGGCGATCTGTAGCCGAGATTGGTGATTTGGTCCTGGGATGTGTTCAAGACACGAACGTTAGTGTAAAAGTCCCACTCAATTTGTATCGTAATCTCTGCGTTTGTGTGGAGGTCAGAGTCTCGATTCAAAGCGCTACCCAGCATGCTGTGCTGTCCACCCTGTCACTTCTTAATATGTTTTGTACTGTCCCACAATCGCAGTTATGAACCAAACAACGCCAACACGTGCACAATAAAGCACACTCGCCGGCACAAAGTTGTCCTGAACGGCAAACATGAGCGGAATCCCCAGCATGCTTGGCGTGTCAAGGTGACATCCTGCTCGTAAACATTCTACCCTGCGGAGTCTTTGGAATGGCCGCTGGGTCAAGAGAGCCGAGATTGTGGCATCTTTAATTTGGTAGCAGAACGTATTCTTCCTTTACGGGTAATGTAGAATGCAGAGCAACAAACTACAATTTCGCATTCAGGTGTTCAAGCCCAGATAGCCACAGCAGAGTGTATCGCCGTGATGTATCTCCGTATTTGTGGATGGGCGCATTGCGTCATACGTTTTTTAGGCTCCGTTCTGGATGACCACAGTCGCACACTTGCAGGGTTTATAATTTTCCCATGTGTGCATCGGGTAACCACATTTGCCATGGTTTCGTGCAGTGGATGCGGTTTAGGGTAGACCATGAGCTTGGTGGAAGATCAAAACACGGATCTTATGCTGCGTTGGGTCTTTCCCAGCGTGCTGTTCGTGAGGTTCTCTTGAATTCCATTCAGCTCAAATTAATGGAGTTCAAATTGCACAAATGAAGGTAATGAAACGATGTACCCATTTCCTGATATGTAGGAATCATTTGTATAGTGTGGCCATTTACTGCTTAAATGTGTGTATATACCGTGCGCACGTACATTAACGGACACTTCTGTAGCGGCGTGTCGGTGACTGTCTCCACAGCTGATTGTGTTTGGCACCTCCAGATGATTGTAAAATTCAGGAATTGAACAACTCCAACGTCCCGCCCATCATCAATGTACCCTTCATATTGCGTGCGCCCCCCCCCCCCCCCATGCAGTGGGGGGGGGGGGGGAGCAGATCACGTATATAAAATGTGTGGTACACCCTCCTCTACCCGACATGGCCAATCAATGAAGTTGTCACGTGATGGACAAACGTGCTCCAATGTCCATAACAGGTTTTTATTGGGTTAGATTGTGTAAATATAAATGTGTCGTTAAACCCGCCACCACCCTACACGGCCAATTAGTAAAGTTTTTAACGTAAACAGAACCAGATGTGTTGCTGCCGCCTGATGAAGTTGGTTGTAATTGTTTGCGAAACGTCGAACTAAAATTGTAAATGTTATGGATTTACTCTCCAACATCGGTGTGCTATACTAGCAGCGAATTGGCATGTTCTGTTCACGTGACAAACATTACTAATTGGCTGTCGGGTGGTGGCGGGATTAACAAAACATTTACGCGACCTAACCCAAAAACGTTATGGATAATCTTGGTCGCGAAAGCCGACGTGTTTTAAACGTGCTATTAATGTGTTACTGTTTGAGCTCCCCAACACGAGTGGTGTGCTGAAGAGGTAAACAATATGCAGATATGTCCTTACCTAAAATCAATAATATATTGTAATATTGGTCGCGAAAGTCCACGCGTGTGAAATGTAAATAAAAACTTGCTTTTGCGAAAGAAAGCGTGTGTGTAGTAAATCCGTGCACTCGTGAGTTCCGTGTGCGATTCTCATAAAACGATGAGGAACCGCCTCTCGTCGGATCGCATCGTGCAGGTGATGTGCTGATAGCAGAAGCTTCGGTACATTTGCCAGCACATTAGATGTCTCAGCAATGGCTGTGGCCAATACCACTATAAATAGTTATCTTGACAATGTGGGGGGAATTTTCATTAAGATCATTATACACTCCTAAATTCCAATGTTCGCCAAACACCATGAGCGTACGGGAGTCTCTCCTGTGGCATGTAACAAGCCAGACGTGGCATTTCAGCTGCGCATTCTGGCTGCGTACGTTTAAATTACGAACAATAAACGCAAGGAATATTAGTGTAATAAAGAGGACAGAGTAGCAATCCCATGTTGAGCCATGTGCGCAGTTGTTTTTTCTTCCCCAGCGTTTAAGCCATTTCCAATACTCATCAAGCCGAAACTCTCCCCCCCCCCCCCCCCCCCCCAAGGAGGAGAGTTTTCCTCCTTGCCTGCCTGCGTTGTGCGAGCAGCGCTTCGGCAGCCACTGGGCGAGCCCCAAAAAAACTCTGGCGCTGCCCTTTTTCCATGGCAATTTGGACTGGAATTACACGGTTCTTGCGCGCGCACATACACACATGCGTTGCGCGCAAACACGCGCGCGGTGCACGCACACACTCGTGATGCGCACACACACTCGTGATGCGCACACACGCGTGGTGCACACACACGTGCGTGCGCGCGTGCACATACACACACGCGTGGCGCACGCACACACACGCAGGTTCGCAAACGGAAGACAAACCCTGCCTGCTTCCTGCACGATACCGCGTTCCTGCTCGTTAAAATAAAGTAATAAATAAAACAAACTCAAACCCCCCCTCCCTTTCCAGCAACCCTCAGAAAAATCCAGGATGTTTCGGAAAAATCCGGTCAACTCACTCACTCACTGCCTCGTGTGTTTTTTTTATTCCGTCCACAAACGGGGCATGTGCGCGGAGCATGCCCCGATAGATGCATGGAATGGCCGCAAAACAAAATCTCACGCCCAGTTAAAACTCCAAGAACCGAAAAAACGCGATTGATTGATTCTCGGATGAGAAACGGTTAAGGTGGAACGTGTTCGACTTCACATTTTGTTTTTGTCGCGCATGTTTACCGTGTCTCGGTCGTGTGCGTTTTGGTAGGTAACCGATATACACCACGCCTGCTTTTGGCTGCTCATGTGGAAAGAATATATTTAGATTTTTTTTCTGCTTCTGCCGTGCGTTGTTTTGGTTTCCCAATAGCGGTGGCAATTAAAACCGCGGCACCAACCACGGGGTGGCGGGCACCGCCACACCGAGCGTCCAATTCCGGGACGTTGCCGCTCGACATCACCGTGGGGAGCGCACGAGCAACTCGTTAAATATTTTAACTCAAATCCGTTATGGTCACCATGCCCCTCCCCCCCACGGCGGTTGCGCATTCACCGCTTGTTGCAGAAGATCACGGTTCGCTACGAGCGGCCACCCTGGTGAATACCGCGGTGTATACTAGCCGTACACAAATACTACGCACGCACCGTATGCTTTACAGCGTACATTGAAGAGCCCGTAACGTCTTTCGCGAGTGTAGGCCATTGTGTACCGGCGACAAAATGACCAACACGTTACTCATTTGGAATGCAGACAAATATCGTCGTCCCGTACTCCTGCGGAAAAAAATAAACTTGGCAGGATTTTGCCCGAAAAAGAGTCATCAGACTCGGCGAGGCTTTCCGGGGTAAACAAGCAAAATAAATAACACACGAACAATCATACAGCTACTGCGCATCTACTCCTGGATGGAAGGCCTCAACCACACTGCCCTTCTCACTGCCATGCGATGCCGAAATTCATTTCAGTTCTGCACATTAGCTGCTGATCGATCCCACGGCTCTTTTTCCACGCTGATTGCTGAGGACAGTGAGTCGGGCAGGACACACCGCCGATGACCATTGGCCAAGACTGGCGCTTGAACGGCAACCAAGGGAGGAAACAACCACATCAACAACCACAGTAACCGCCATTCGCCACTAAGTGGCGGTGACGTCACCACGGCGATTGTGCCAGGCTATGTGCACGTCGAGGCCACGTGAAGTGTCGAACGCCCGCTGGCATGCCACTGAGATGAGTGGTCGATGCGCCACCTGTGCCCCCTACTGTGTCAACTTGCTGTGCATTAGCCATCCGGCGCTCCTGAGAGGACAACCATCCCTGAAACTATTTGTTCTTTAATGAAACCCTCTTACGACATGGTTTCCATTTTCTCAACCCTGGAGGGTCGATCATTGATGGGGCTGAGTTGGCGCCGGAGTTTAACCCAAGACCACATAAACAGAAGCCTTCCTGCCCTACCAACTGAGCAATAATTTCTAAAACCATGCACTGTACCCTACGTAAACAACTGAAGAACAATACGAATGATGTACTGCCCTTTGTTAATCCACTGCTGGATGAAGGCCTCACCACACCGTGTATATTTACTGGGTCACAGCTTTGCACGCTGGGTGGCTGTCCTGGTTGTTTGCGCTAATTGCCCACTAGCAAAGCATTTATCATTGGCAACGGTGCTAACTTGGTCCGGCAATAACACAGAATAAGATTTCTGTCTGGTCAATGAAAACCGAGTTAGTCCAAAAGTGTATAGTCATGTGAGATCTGTTGGTGATCTGATTGCACATTGCAATCCCAATTTCCTGCCCACTAGAGGGAGCAGCGATCAGATGCATGCATATTTGGGGAACGAAACTTTTTCCAACAGCAAATGGCGAGGCAGAACTTATTTCCGGCACTCAAATTCTGCCTGACATTATCAGTGACTCACAGAAGCCAGACGGTGCCTCATGCAGTGACTCCGATTGGGGAAGGGTGCTTGAGTGATTTGCAGGAGGGAAGAGAATATCTGAGTGACTCACAGAAGAACTAAACTATATTTTTTTTTACCAGGTAAGGCCCGCTGAGCTATGTAGCTCTTTTTCAGAAGCGACCTGGCCACAGGTGATAGCTCAGCGAAGTAGCTTATCATGTGGAAATGTATCGCAGCTAAATACTCTAAACGCATGTTTCTAAATGTCGAGGGAAAAACTGGAGGACCCAGAGGAAGATCCACGCGACCACGGGGAGAACATGCAAACTCCAAATATATATATAAGCGCCAGGGTAGGGAATCGAACCTACGACCTCCTGTATACCAGACGAGGTAGTTGACATCTCGCGGTGCTCTTGTGCAGAAGTGCGGGAGGCTTGGGTGGTTGGTGAGCACAAGTAGCTGACATTAGGTAGCTCGGGGATATCACTCTGGGTCATGGGGTTACCACGTCTGAGGAACAAAAACAAAGAAGTGTCACAGGAAGAAGAACATCCCACAAGACCAGACTAGGGACAATTACTTGTAACTGACAACAATTGGGCTATTAATGTTTCATGTTCTTAAAATACTTACAGATTTCCCAGGACGGCTACCCTTAAAGTGGGATGATCCTTGGAAAACCATAACAGGTGGCAACTCAACTCGGTCCCCTTCATTGTCCGATGCCCCATTGATTCCAGGGGTCACTGGGTTCGTTGCACTGGGCTTAAACACAATATAATAACAATGCCAAGCCGGGCGTGGTGGCGCACGCCTGTAATCCAGCACTTTGGAGGTGGGATTGGTGTATTGTGTTGTGGGAGAGCCACCCAACTTGCTGAGTTATGCTGTGGCCAAACATGATCAATCCACTGGCAGATAAACTCAAAACTAAACTATAAACATTTTTTTTATTTTACCAGGTAAGGCTCACTGTGCTATAGAGCTCTTTTTTAGAAGCGACTGGCAACACACGATAGCTCAACAAAGCGGCTTATCACGTGGAAATGTACCGCAGCCAAATACTCTAAAACGCATGATTCTAAATGTGGAGGGATAAACCCGGAAGACACGGAGAAAAATCCACGCGACCACTGGGAGAGAGACATGCAAATTCAAAATTGATAGTCATCGTCAGGGTCGGGATTGGGATCAAAACCACGACCTCCTGTATACCAGGCGAGGTAGTGAACATCTCGCCTCCACGTGCCATCGCGACATTCTGGGGCATGTTCACCCCCTCGGCTGACACCAAGTTGCCGGTCTCGACCGCCGGCCCATCATACCTCACAAAATGATTGACTCAAATTCGATGCCCTTAACCTGCGTATGTTTTTCGATCCGCGTGTTCCTCGTTCTGCCCCTCGATGTAATTACAAGCAGTCAACTCTCCACGCGCGTCTCTGTGCACCTTCTAGTTTGTGCTCTATTGTCCTCGTTAAGCGTCCGTATTTCTGCACAAGGTAATGAAAAGTCGGTTGCCTGCGAATCCGTTGAGCGTTCAGTCGGAGCGTCGTCCTGTCAAACGCATGTATGTATCTATGTTGAACTTCTTTCTTACCGTACGTAGCTAACCGTACGTAGCACAACTGTGCTAATCGGAGGTGCGGGTGGGGGAAGGACAACACTAAACACAAAAATCAAGAAATTAGTTTTCAATGTAGATGCTTTAAACGTGCATAACTCCTGTATCTTCCTAATATCGGGTGCTCTGTTTTTTTTACGCACACCCAAACATAACTATCAATAATAGCTGGCCAAACATGCCGAGCAGGAACCCACTGACAAACAGTGTTAAGACTCAGTGAGGCTTCCCTGGGTAAATCAATATTATTTAACACGAAGGCTTTCGCGACCAATCTTATGATTAATAATAGATTTTTGGGTCAGGTTGCGTTCGTAAAATGTCATACTCCCTCCTTGGCCCGTTATCACGTGAACAATCGTGCCAATGTATCACTGCTTAAGCAGCACCAGTGCGTCTTTGGAGAGCGATCCACACACAGCACTTAACAACTGGGGAGAAACATGATTCTGGCAACTGCCTGATGATTTGGGGTGTAGCTACCAGCACACACAAAGTGCCTGCCACAAATGAACCACAACATCTTGCTGATCTCGTCAAGGAGCATAAACCATCATGCAAACTCCGGTCATCCTCACAGCAGCTGCTTTTGGCTAACCATAGAACAAAGATGGTCACTGTGTTTGGTGCTTTCAGATGCGCTTCTGCGGCCGTCTGGAACGCTCTTCCTTCCGATATTAGGAATCCACTGGACCTCTGCACTTTTAAATAATCGAGATTGATAACTCATTTCATTAGAACTGATTTTTTTTGTTTAGTTTGTTGTCCTTCCCCCGCACCTCCGATGAGCACGGTTGGCTACGTATGGTGCGAAAGAAGTTCAACATTCGTACACACACGAAATCGTCTGACAACCCAATTGCTGAACGTGTTTAGTGTGGACCGCTCTCCAACAATGCACCGGTGGTGCTGCTCATGAAGCAGTGATACATTATCCACGTTTGTTCGTCACGCGACATGATTACTATGCCTGTTACTAGGTCAACAATAGCAAGGGTTGTTTTATCGTCACCGAGTGACAGTATCAGGAAATATTGAAGATGGTCATTGAGCTCCAAATTTTCGCATTATCTAAAAACGAGTGGAGAAACCTTGGTAATAGTTTTTGGCCATTAAGGTGATGCGTCGGTTTGCCGAAGCACCAACTTAATACACTGTGTAAAAATAATTTGGTGATATGTAAAATTTCTTAAGCATGCAAGTGCATGTCATGCACGCATTTGTGTATGTACGTATGCACGTTGAACTTTTTTCGAACCGTACGTAGGCAACCGTGCTAATCGGAGGTGCGGAATAGGACACCTGTTCTGAAACCCCCTGAACAGAACAAAAATGCGTTGTTAGAGTCGTGGAGGTCCAATTCCTGATCATCATGAGTTCGCATCCTGGCCATTGGTTGATCTCTGCCCCACCACCATCGCAATCATCGTGATAATCACCATCACCATAATTTCTCAAGGATAAACACAATGAGTTTCCCTCGATGAAGCGGTATCGTTTAGTGGGAAATTGACAGTGGTTGTGTTAAGAATAGAATGAGTCTACTCATAGTATCGTGGAATTTCCACGCCTCAGGACCAGGAAATAATGACCATGTGATATTTGTTTGAGCATGAGGACAGCGATGTGTGCCAAACCCTCCACAGCAATCTCATCTCCAAACGTTAATTCACTTTTTTATTAATATCCACGTGATGCGATGGACATCCTAATTTTATTTGATGTCCAGGAAATTGTGTCGCAATTTGAAGGGCTTCATTTCTCACGAAATGTTTGCTGCGCTGACAATGAACTGGAGTAGGCACGTGACGAGTAGCGACAGCCGTAGCAAGAAGTATACTGGACGTGGTGCGCCGTGTGCGCAACTGCAGCTGCCGGATAATACACGGTTCATATAGAACCCTGACGGTGCGCAATCTTTTTTGTGTATAAAAGGTGAGCATGTGCGGTAGTGTCCACATACATAACGTTTTATAAAGAAAAAATATCATTCAACCTTTGCAGTGTATTATCCTCTTGATCTTTGGAGAATATCGGAGCGGTCTTTTTGTTTATTTCCATGCGCGCCATTTATTTATTTAAGTGAATCTGAAACTGTGGGCAAATTCATCACGTCGGCAGCAGGAAAAGAGCCCGGAGGGGGCAGCGCGTTAACATCTCTCGCTCGCCCCGACAGCCCGGCTTCCTGCCCGGAGCTGCGCCGACTCAGAGTCTCGCGCTCAGAGCCACGGTGTTTACAGCAGCCCAGGGCCAGAGCAGGGTGGGTGTGTGCGAGTGAGTGAGTGATTGGGTGACTGTGTTGCTGAATGTGTGGATGAGTGAGTGGGTGTGTGGATGCATGGGTGGGTGAGTGAATGTGTATGAGTGAGTGCGGGTGATTGAGTGCGCAAGTTGGTGGGTGGGTAGGTGAGTGTGTCGTGGATGGGTGAGTTTGTCGGTGAGTATTTGGGTATATGTGAGTGACTGCGCGGGGCAAGTGCGTGGTTAAGTGCGTTGCTGAATTTCTGTGTTTGAGTGAGTGGGTGCGGTGCATTTGTGGGTGGGTGAGTGCGTGCATGAGCTGGTGTGTTTTGTGCATGGACGTGTGGATGAGTTAGGGAAAGAGTGCGTGCCATTGAGTGTGTAATTGTGTGTGTGTAGGTGTGTGCATGGGTGAGTGGGTGTGTAAGTGGGTGAGTGTATGGGTGGGTGAGTACGTGGGTGAGTGAGTGGGTGAGTTTCTGTTGAATGGTAAAGGGAGACCTGGGTTGCAGCCAACGCCCACCCATTCTCGCCAATGCGGCCTCACAGGGCGGGTGACGAGCGGTTTCATGTAACTCGGGTGTCCTTTTTTGACCTGGCCATGTGTCCCACACACTGGAAAATAAGTTACATCCTTTCAGTCACGCACAGTGCCTTATCTCAGCATACATAGTGACTTGTCTCAGAAGGCACTAACATTGACTTATCTGACCGGCTAAGCATATTGATATATCTGACCAAATATTATTCTGGTAATTCAGTGACGCATCAGAAAAGTCAAATGCATTACAACGAGAGTAAGTTCATAGTATTAAGAGAAAAGTCTCCAATGACTGGCATAGCGAGTACTAACATAACTCGCAAAGTGAACACTTTGCAAACACCACACTGGCTTCTTCAACTGTACCGTACAAGATTCTCTACCCCTCGTATCTGAAAGTCCTTCAAACGTTCTGACACTTAGTGTAAACCTTCTCAGAGTCTCCGCCATTCCCTTAATTATGCAGCAAGCACAAAAACAAAGGAAATCTCCTCACATTGTTTTGTCCTCGGCAATGCGATGTCTATGTCGCCAGTGTTTATAAACCATGCTGCTGGGAAGATCAAGTTCATGTGCGCTCCTGGTGGCGAATGATAAGTCGTAAATATTGAACATCCTCGGTTTGCCAAAGGAGTGATCCTCATGCATGATTTGCAAGCTTTTGGGTAATTTTGTCACAAACAGGAATGATTTAAACAAGCACATACATGTAAAACAATATGATGACACTTTGTTTAGTTCAGCATAAAAGTTTATTGGCAAAGCACATAACTTGCCATGAACATATTTTCTACATTTAAGACCAGAAACACACGCCTCATTTGTACGAGCTGCATCAGGCCTTCTGGCGATCCTCTCTTACGCACGAGGCTAAGTTAGCCTAATAAAGTGCAAACAGATATTTGTTTCAATCATCTCATTATCACTACGAATAAGTGTGGACCATGTATAAATTAGTGCACACACGTTGTCCACACGAACAGCAAACCACACAACTGCTCTGTAACAGACATATGTTTTCCTCAAAAGGGAGACCTAACAGGGAAACTTCAGCACCCACACAAAGCTCCTGGAGCTTCTACAGTGAAGACTCATACTGCTGTAGCAAAGCTCCTGTTTTAATGCTTCCACAGCACTGCTCTTTTCTTGAACAGCTCAAAACAGCCACGGAACTCGCGGACACGTCAGCTCACGTGACAGAAAAAATAATCTATTAAATGGCGGGATAGTGTGATCTGTGCCACGTTCTTTGAAATTCCAAACAGGTGCAGCTAAATTGTACAAGATGTACTTGTGTATTTATAGTGTGCATTTGTGTACACAATTTAAACATGATAATGCATGCACATTTACATAATCGGCATGGCAAATGTAAAATATTAATTGTTCATTTATAATGGTAGACATATAGTTAGAAATACTGCGTACAACATTGTCAAACAACACCCAACTTTTAAGGGGATAGTGGGAAGCAAAGAATAAACTCTGTGAGAAGTGACCTGACAAGATGTCCGGTATGAGCTGTCATCTTCATGACTAGGGCAAAATGGGGCTAATGCATTTCTGAATTCCATCCACATCTGCATTGCCTGTGAATGTTGACTTGTGGATAATAGAGAGTTTTTTTGGGGTTAAATCGCGTAAATATAAGTGTCGTTAAACCCGACATCATCCGGCACGGCCATTTCTATAAAGTTTGTCACTTAAACAAAACATGCCAATTAGTTACTACTTCAGCACACTGTTGTGTTGGAGAGTAAACACAAATTGGGTTTACTCTCCAACACACCAGTTTGCTGAAAGACCGGGCATCACCGCCCCCTCCCCCCACCACTGCGCCACCCTGCCATCTTGAGGGCGCTATTTTGGCGGCTTGCGCTTTCTGCTGCCGCCGCCACCACCGCCGTGCGTTGGTGCCGTGCGTCCATTGAGCTCGCCGGGGAGCGAGGAGCCAGGTGCGGGCGAGGAAGCGAGTGTGTTGAGACGGGCCTCCGTGAGGAGAAACGTCGCCCGGATCTCTGACAGGGCCACTTCGCATGCCGTGAGGATCTGCACGGAGATCGCTTCCCTCAGCACCAGGGCGAGCGTCTGCACGCCGAGACGGGAGTGGGAGCGTTCGCCGATGAGCGGCACAACACAATCATGACTATTAAGTCTTACTGGGCTCTCAAGTGGTTTTAAGTTCATGTTATGTCATGTGACATTTCACGGTTGGCATGGGTCATGGTGCAATGAGATATATGGAGCACCCTGCCCAATTTACCTCCTCTTTGTAGCCTGTTACTTGGGACCCTCCAGCCTGTGGGTGCAGTAGCACCCTCTGCACACTCAATTGCTATGCTACTGCTCCACGTTACCCATCTTGTTGGCAGCTCTGAGCCAGTTCGTGGAAATCCCACATATCTAAGGCTGGTTCCTTCCATAGAGCAACCACTTTTCACCCAAGATAAAGGTCGAGTTACCTCTGAGTGACCTCATAAACATCTAACTCCGAGCTGCACCCTCTAACAGCTTCGCTCGGCTTGGTTTGAAATAACACTGACGCTAACGCCTGTGCAAAGCTCACCTCTGCATCCACCGTCTCTCCCTCCTGCACCGAGAGTCGAGCCAGGACCTTCTCCAGTTGATCTCGGCCCTCACCGCGCAGTTCCTCCTGGCGAACCCGTGCGTCGGTGCGCACGCGCACCTCGACTTCCTCGAGACGCTCAGCCTCGCGCCGCCGTCGCTCAACAGCGCCCTCCTCCATGCCGCGCTGCAGCGCCGGTATGGGGAGCGGCACCTCTACCTCCAGGTTCAAGGGTGGCGGGCGGCTGGCAACGGAGGCAGTGAAGGTGCCGCGCAGGAGGGCAGCGCGCCATAAGCGGAAGTGCGGTACATACGTGGACGAAAAGAAGTGGAGGACAATGCGGGCCGGGCGGCCAGACCCCAGGCAGCCGTGCACACGCTCCTCCAGGCTCCTCAGCACCTCCTCCAGTGACAGCTCTAGCAAGGAGGCAGCGGCAGGCCCAATGGCGTAGTGTGGTTGGCATGGTCCCAGGTGCAAGGAATTACCATTGACCCTCCGGTCCAATGTCCCACCTTTTTGTAGCCTGGTGTCTGGGACCCTCCAGCCTGTGGGTTCTGGTACAGTGGCACTGTCAGCACACATTTGTTGTAGCTATACCAATGGGCAAGGCTTCGGAACTGAAATGTTCGTGTACCAATTTCATGTATTTCCAAATAATCAAAGTATAAGTGGCTGGGTGGCTCAGTTGGTTATAGTGGGCCAAGGCACTTAACTGCTATGATTGAGATACTGGGTTTGAATCTGGGCAACATCCATAATGAATCGAGATTCTTAAGTGTAGTGACTCGATTGACTCAGTCCAATTACCATTCATTGTACAAAACACTCATTGATTTTAATGTTTTCACTTAATTTGGCACATGAGAGCTCTGAGGTCTACACCACACATTTAAGTTCAAGAGCATGTAATAGGTGCTGTGCTGAGAGTTGGGGACTGCGTCACACACGTGCTGTTGTGCAGTCTTGAGTCAGTGAGGCTTTCATTGGTAAATATATGGCAATACATTGTATCATTATGTCTACTATAATTTATTATTAACAGTTATTTGAAGTTATTTGAAATCACTACACAGTGCAAGTTGCAGAGAGTGTGTAAGATGTGTTGGTGTGAGAAGTGGGAAGCCTGCGACATACGTGTGGTGTCGTGCAGCAGGGCAAGTGTGAGTGACGCCACGAGGGGTAGGCAGGCCCAGGACAGGCCCCGTGTGGAGCAGTGCACCAACGTGCCCAGAACACAGTCGAGGGCCAGCGCTCTCCATGGCTCGGTCTCGCACTGCCGCTCCGTCCAACCCAGACCAGTGCGAAGTACAGACACTCCCAGCGCTGGCTGCAGGCAAAGAGTCCAAAAATGCAGTGGATTCGAAATGCAGCTGCTCAATTCGTTTGAATGCATCCTGACAGTCAGTTATAGAATAATTGCATTCATTGCCAGTGAAAAAACACACGCTATTAAAATCCTACTCCTTTTGCTTTTGTGATGAAGGAATTTAAATTTGGAACTTTCGCAGCAAGTAGTGAAGCATCATCGCACGTAAAATATGGCCTCCAGAAAATGACACTGAAGGACAAATTCTAAGCTTCTATGTTGTCTCCTATAAAACAATGTCTGGTGCATTTTCTCACATGTCCTACTACAGACGTGTTTGTCACGAGACAATCAGTTTATTTAAATTTTCTTCAGCCACCAGAGCTGTAAAAAGCCTAATAAAGTGCGGTCATTAGTACCTGGGTTAAATCCATAAACATGAACCTGGTTTAATCATGGGCAGCTGCCCAGATTCGAACCCAGGATCTCATTGGTGCTGGCTCATTCTCTGAAGATAATCACCCGATGTTAAATTTATAGGCTTGCTCCTGCATATCTGACTGAACCCAGCACACTGGACAACCCATCCCCTTTCTCGTGGTAGACCCATCAAACCAATGGGTTTGTACTGCAATACGGTTGACAGAACTTTTGTCGAACTTGCCAAACAATTCTAGAACCATTTATCTTATGAAAGTCATAATTCAAAACATGTCTGTTGTATTAGAGATGTTCTTATTTGAGTGCAATTTAATAGAAAATTATGTATTGCATGTGGTTGAATGCAGCGCGAGGGTGAATTTGAATGACAGCAGTTCAATGTGGTGTGGAAGATGTAAGGTAGCATGGTTTTTATTTAAAGAAACGCGTAGTATAAATGTGAATGAGTATTATTATAACAATCGGGGGCAATAAAGTGAGTGATATGAGACCTCAATCATTTCCCCGCATTTTGTAATTCCTGGAATTGTTTTCCATATAAAATACAGTGAATGGATGGGGCCATTTCCTTATTTGGTGTATATCTGTTCATGTTTTTCAAGTCATGCAATGGTGTGGTGGTTGGTGACAGTGGTGCCACTGTCACTACGGCTCTTCTGACCTTGGTGATGTCATGAATACTCAGGGTCCAACTACCCCACTACATTTGCAAATGTGATTTGTAATTTTGATCCTTACCTGTGTATCGATAGTTCAATGCTAATTTGTCATTGTATTGAGGGAATGCGTGTTATCTTGGTGTGGTCTGCGACTGTTTTGTTGTTGGTTTTTCTGCCTTACCCAAGTTTGATCAATCTGATTTATATAATAAATGCATTTATTATTCATATTTAGTGACTTGCTTACCATTTTCTCTATTTTGCACTCCTATCGTTTTTTTTGTATTGTTTTTTGTTGTAACTTGCTGACCCGCCCATACTGGTCATCTGTGAAAAAGAGCTTCATAGTTCATTGGATTCTTCCAGTCTAAATAAAGATTCTGATTCTCATTCTGACCCCACTGTGATGCTATTGTCACTACAGGAGGGGGACTCCTGTCTTGACCAGACCAGAACCACTTTAGCCACCACTCTCCGAGGACTTGTACTCATAACGTTGGCAATCTTTCATGATGGCGACAGGGAAATAGATATTATTTTAACCCCATTAGTTTTCCTTCTTTAGAGCCTCATAGCTTTTACAAATGCCGACACTACCATGTTCAACCCAAGGGTGGGGTAAGAGTTTAGGCTAGAGTCTTGTTAAATAGTGTAGCTGGAGTTATCGTTGAAGCTAGTATTTGGTTTGCTAATGTGGTTAACTATAGGGGTATGGATAGGTTCAAGTTGTTAGGGCTAGGGACGTTAATTAGTGTGATTCGTGTCTGGCTGATGTGATAAGTGTTCAAGCTACAATACGTTTGGCAAGTAACAGTTGGGGATGGTGCTAATGGCTGGTCTAGCAGAGTAGTTATAAGTGGTGGTGTTTTCGGGGATGGTTAACCAGTGTGTTTAGGGACAGAGATAGTGTTAGGAGTCGTTGACCAGTGTGGTTAGAATTAGCAATGAGAATTAGGGCCTGTCCATTAAATATGCTCTGCCCTATTACAATTTTCCGCTTCCCCTATTTACCGAGAATGGCCTTTTCACATGCCATGCTTTTTTCACTTTGGATATTCACAGCGCCAGCATGCCGACGTATCTGCATGTGCACCACATCTCTACCTCGCCCTGCTGCTCTCTGGAGTTCAGGCCACCACAAGCAGCACAAACACTCCTAGCACCGGCTGCACGCACAGCCAGGAAGCAGCTAATTTGCGTATGGTGGGTTCACAATGCGCGTCGCCCAATATCGCTGCACTGGGCCAGTCACGCCCTGATTATTATGTTGAGTTTGGCACATTATTCATTTCACAATGGAGCCTCTTGGGGCCAGCATATAGCTCAAGGGGTGCACCGAGGGGCACACTAAAGTTCAGAGGGCATCTGTTATTTTCAGCCATGGCACTATTTTTGATGTATTTCTTTTGTTACTATGGTAATTCCTTTTTCACCAGATACTCATTGGAAATTAACAGTTCTATATATATATATTTTTTAAAAAGCATCAATATAGTCTTAAGAATAATTTTTAAGGGTCCTGCTGGGAATATTTGGCCAATTGCCAAATGAATTTGCATTTGGGATTAAGCCAGGGTGGTTGGAGAAAACGTATGCGATACTAAGATGTTTAAAGTTAGAATTATAATTCTAACTTATAATATAATTATCAGTGCAGATTCCCTTGAGCAGGGTTTAGACAGTGGGGAGGCATCGCATAGGCAAGGACCTCTCACACAGCCTGTGTTAATCAAGCAGCGTCTTTGCATAAAAAGAGTGAACACCAAAAAGTACAGCAATGCAATTACATTGAATTTGTGTTCAACGTGGTTCGAATCAGCAGTGCTGAGTTGGAGATCCACTGTTGGCTGTACGAGAGCTCCCCCCTCCCGTAGAGTGCATGTTGATGCACGAAATGGTACGTATTCGGTAGGGATATACTCTTGATTTAATTTAACCTGGAGAAGAGTCGAGAGCATAACGCACGTTGGTATACAGCTGTGGGGGCCAGCACAAGAAATGGCGCGACCTGTCATAGACATGGCACGGGCCACTATGAAGCAGGTCTAAGCATCACGGAGCAAGGGAGGGCAACATTAACTAACAGTGGTTACTCTCACAAGCAGTGACCAATGTTTTATAACATAACGATGGCGAATGGGTTACAATTAACCAAAGCACGTGGGTTCTCACAAGAAATGTTATGAACAATAGATTGTTTGGTTAGGCCATGGAATTATTTAGTTACAATTCTAATAGTTTTTCAGTAAATGTCACTTTAACATGAGCAAATGAACTGCCTTTGCCACTATTGTTCATTACAAAAATAGTTAATTTACTGTCATGGGCTTGCAATGTTTAATCCTCATGCTCGAAGTGGTCATGGTAACAATAGTTAATCGATTACCCCGGTAACAATGGTTAACTATGCACGCGACAGCGGTTAACTTGTTATCGTGGTAGCAATAGTTAATCGATTGCCCCGGTAACAATGGTTAACTGTGATCGTAACAGCGGTTAAATGGTTGTCGTGCTAACAATAGTTAATCGATTACCCCGGTAACAATGGTCAACTATGCACGTGACAGCAGTTAATTCGTTGTCGTGGTAACAGTAGTTAATCGATTACCCCGGTAACAATGGTTAACTATGATCGTAACAGCGGTTAGCTCGTTATCGTGCTAACAATAGTTAATCGATTACCACCGTAACAATGGTCGTAAAGCGGTTAAATGGCTATCGGTACAATGAATTGGCGACAGAGCCGCTCCCTCTCGTTCCTGTCAACAAGTAACGTGCTATGGCCCTCGGCTATCGATCTTAACAGCCTTTATTTGTTTATTTATCGATCAATCTCCTCACTTCGAGTCGCACGGCAGAGCGCGCCTCCGCCTCGAGCAGCGTCCTCGCCCTCGCCATGGCAACCGCGTGCGCGCGACGTCACGCGTTCGGTATGGCGTCATCGCGTCGCAGAGTCGCGCCTCGGCGACATGACGTCACTTGCGACAATGTCAACATTCACAAAATGTATCAGAATGACAGTTTTGTTGCCAGATAGAAGGGTAAAAAAACAATGATCATATTTTTTACTGGCAAATGAGGTTCCAATGGTGTAAATATCAGAATGTTGGTTTAAAGCTTTCGTGACTGCAGGGATTAATTTTCTTGTTTTTCTCGGTAAAGTCACGTAAAAGGGAAAGAATGAAATAATAAAAATATTAAACAATAAAAATTATCACGTTTCGACTGCAACACAAGCAATCATAATCAGGTGTGAAATCCACAGCAATAAATTTTTAAAAAAGTAAAAAAAAAGTTTTCAAATTTTATTGCTGTGGATTTGATGATGATTGCTTGTGTTGCAGTCGAAACGTGATAATTTTATTGTTTTACTGGTAGGAACGAAGTGGACCAGCCACCAATAGATTATATCGTCCGTCCGTTTGTCCGTCCGTCCGTCCGTGTAGCAACATCGCCCCCTACTGCAAACACTTGGCATGACCCTACAAAAACCGAGACCTAGGCCTGAAACTCTCCCTTCGTATCGTACCCCCGCGTGTGTGAAAGGGAGTTAATGTTTAACAATGTTACATTCCCTGATGTTTTTTTTAATGGAAACATTTCAATTTAAAGCTTTTACATTAAAAACAACTCCCTACCCCCCCCCCCCCCCCCCACTTGTCGGCGGCTCTCCAGCCGAGCCAGGCCTGGGAATCTCTCCCCCGCTTGGGGTGTATTGGGCGGGGCTACAGCGGCAGGGGGCGGGGCTACAGCGGCAGGGGGCGGGGCTACAGCGGCAGGGGGCGGGGCTACGCGGGGCTGGGCGGGGCAACGGCGGCAGGGGGCGTGGGCACGAGGTGGAGGGCGGGGCTACGCGGGGTTGGGGCGGGGTTACGGCGGTAAGGGGCGGGGCAACGAGCTGGGGGCGGGGACACCGAGATGGGGCGGGGGCCACGGGTGGCCGGGGCGGGGTTACGCGGGTGGAGGGGGCGGGGCCACGGGGCATCCACTTATTGGCGGCCATTTTTTGCCATTTCATTTTATTATAGCCATTCAATTGTTCGGTCCTACCAGCCCACCCCACAGGGTCCTGTTATATTTTTATTATTTTATTGTTTCCCTTCTACGTGACTTTACCGAAAAAAAACAAGAATATAGGTATCAGAATTTTGATTTGCACCGGAGGAATTCCGATGAGCGATGAAGTTGTTCTTCGCGGATGTTCCAATAGGGGGCGCGTAGGAATGCTAGAACAGCAAACAATACACAAACACGAGAGTCGTGCAAAGTATAAGAAAGGTAAACAAATCACCCAGAAATATACAAATAAAACGAAACCATCCCCATTCTAGCAGGCAAAGCCCACTGAGGTATAAACTTATTTTAGAGAAGCGACCTGACCACACAACAAAGTGGTTTTTCACATGGAAATCTATAGCAGCTAAATAATCTAAATAATTTAATCTGAATAATTTAATCTAGCGTCACGTCTCATTGGTGTGACGTCACTCTTATCTAATTAGAACCTCTCGGTATGACGTCACTCGTAACTAAATGGTATATCTCGGTATGACGTCACTCAGGAGATCTGACCAGTGTGGAAGAGCAGCCCTCTGAAGGGGCTCACTAGAGGCTACTCCGCCAGGAGTGGCGTGAGCGAGCAATTGCCAGGGCCGTTTGTTTACCTTTTCGTACCTGGTTTAACTCACTCTGCCGAGATGACGTCATTTGCTGCAATAAAAAAAATTGTGTTTGAAACATCTGACGTCATCGCTCATAATCAACTTTTTGGGTTTAGATCGCGTTATTTATAAATGTGTCGTAACCCTCCACCACCCGACACGGCCAATCAGTAAAAAAGTGTCACGTTGACAAAAGACAAATAGTTCACTGCTTTAGCCCACCGGTGTGTTGAAGCGTGAAACCACAACATTTACCATTTTTGAGTAGCACGACGTTTCGCTGGTAATTGCATCCAGCATCATCGGGCAATTCGCCAGAATGGTGAACTGACGTCATCGCATTGGTGTGTGTTTTATGACGTCATGTGGGATTCAGTGGGGATGTCACGTGGCTCGCTCGCTGCCACGTGCGCCCGGGTCGGCAATCTGCGGCTCTTTAAGAACCGCTTCGTGACTCGCCGACACTATAATTGCAAATTTAAAAAAAAACCTAATTATTTTCGATGAACGATGAACGTCTGAAAGCCCAACAATGATTTGTAACGCGGCAATTACGAATCGTTGCGCTCGTGCTTTTCTTAAAAGTTATTACAAAAATATGGTTCATGTTATTCATTAATTCACACGCATTGCGCCTTTCGAAGTATATAGTTTTTTTTATGCCGAATTCGAAGGAAATGGAACTTTTTATTATTTTGATTACCGATCCATGCGCGTGCGTGACCAGCGTACCGAGGACACGGAACGAGAAGCACGCGGATTAGCGAGAACACGCACAAAGCTGCAGACACCACACAGCGCACGATGTGGCTACGTGGACACGCACGTGCTTGTCTCGTCGACGGCGGAGCAGCAGCCAAACGAGGAGAATGTGCCCCCCCCCCCCGGAGGGTAGGTCCGCCGCAGAGATGGATCGTGGAGCGATGAAATCGCCTCGTGTGTGTAGACAGATCCTCGATGGGATGCTGTTGCATCGCGAGACCGTGAAGGATGGTGGCGATGACATGGGGACGTTTTCGTCCAGCGGTGAATAGAGCAGAAGTTTCCCTCGGTAAATAGGCAGAATAATAATATTGGTTGATTTTGATGCAAGTGCTGTTAGCGAGCACCTATGAAGGCGGGCACGGCACACGCGCGGGGGTGAGTGGCCAGCACCACGTCCGACCACCGTTGTCTCCCCGTTGGCGATGTTGTCATTTGAGGCTGAGTCGACCTAGGAGATGCCCGGTTAAGATCATCGTTTCTAGTGTTGGGGGTGAGTGGGAATCGACCTGTGGTTGCTGGGTTTGTAGCGCAGGGCGCGAACCGCTACACTGGCGCTCCCGATCCCACTCGCGAACAAATGCACACAACCCGCTTTGGATGAGCGTCATCGTGCAGTACAACATTAATTCAGTATTTATACAGAATGATTTATTGTCGCAGAATGATTTTTGTTGCATTGGGTTTTTACATGTAAAAAAAAATTGGCATACAGTACAGTGCTTGTTAAAATTGTGATGTGTTTATTTTTGGCTGCCGTGTACCTAACCCCATTATTTAGTTGAGGCTTAAGTATTGAATATCGCGGTTTTGGCTTTCGCGGCACTTTCCAGGGACGTAATCCCGCGATATTCAAGGGTTTCCTGTACGTATGTTGATCTTCTTTCACAGCAAACGTAGCCAACCCTGCTAATCGGAGGTGCGGGAGAAGGATTATGATAGTACGGTTCCCCGCCGTACGAATGTGGAATTTCCACATCCCAATGCTCCCTGGTCACTGCTTGAGCAGGGAGACACTGAATTTCAACTCATCTCAGAATAAATTTTGACTTAAAACTTTCGTGACTGCAGGAATGCATATTCTTTGGTTCTTTCGTTAAAGTCACGTAGATAGAAAAATAAAGTGAATAAAAATCATTAAAAAAAACATTAATGTAGACTGTAGCCTGGTTCTTAATCGGAGTGAGTGTACTGGCAGTCTATAATGTAGACTGTAGCCTGGTCTCCGTATGGCGTGTGTGCCTGTATAACAAGGTTGTTGGATCACGAAGATATGTCATGGCTGTCTAGAAGGATGAAGGCTGACAGGCTTCTGTGCTGATCTTAATAGTTTGCTTCGACGTACAGTGACGTGTAATTCACTCCTCGAGTTATGGGTACAAAAAAAATCAACGTTGGAACTGAGCAGAGTGTTGTGAGCTTGGATCAAGTAAAACAAGTATCTGCAATATTATTTAATGGTGGCTTTACGTTATAAGCTATTTTTGTGGGATCAGCACTTGTATGTACGTATATAGAAGGTGTTTTACACCATACGGTTTATTGTATGGTAGTAGGGTAGTAGCAGTTATTTAGCGTCAATATGCTAAATTCCTCTGTTGATATGTAAACTCCTTTGTCCAGGCGCTCTGCTCCTCCCACCCATCTTAAAATACGCTGCCAAGCAGTGTTCATTTGAACGCTCTTTCCGACAGCTCTGTTCTTCACCTGAGGACGGCTGCTTGTGTTGTTGCCGAAACGTCGTGATAATTGTATAATGTTTTATTTTTATTATTTTATTATTTCCCCTTCTACGTAACTTTACCGAAAGATCCAAGAATATTAATTTTCAATCTATATTTAAAAGTGCATAGCTCCAGTGGCTTCCGAATATCGGAAGGAAGAGCATTCCAGACGGCCACAGGAAGCCCATCTGAAAGCGCTTGATGCGGTTAAATTCTAAACCATGAGGGTTGTTTGACAATACTTCGCCATGCCGGTCAATTCGGGTTGCTAAAGCACGATTCCAGGACCATTATTACATGATCACACGCCATCATATTAAATTACCGGGTGCATAGCGCAATGCGCCGACCAAAGCACCGCCGCTCTCTCCATTTAAACCACGCGTGTTCCACCGTAAAGTGCTTTGCGGCCGCTCGGTGTGAGTTGTAAGCGCTCAGTAATAATCCCATGTGTAATCAGCACGGCGGTCTGTTTTAATCCCGAGTCGCGTTAGGGTCGTGTAGGTTCACAGCCACTCGCAGTGGCTATTCACCTCTGTCTGCCACTCACCCACACAGCTGCCCGCAAGTCGGATGACATCACCACCTTTCAGAGTAATCGTAAGCAGCAGCAGCAGCAGCCACGAACCATCCACTGCTGGTTGAGGGCCTCCCTAAGCCGCTGCCACCTCGCGATCTTGCACTGTGCAGTTATAATGATCAACTCCACCTTCATGGGGCTCATTTAAACACTCCGTATGTGATGTCCTTAGGGGCCGTCCATCC